GACCTTTTGTTCTTTACTAGAGACAAGATAAGGATCAAGAAAAATGGATTGCCAAAGACCTAAGGCTACATCACCACCGCCGTTGTTTCATTACTATGGTGAGGAGGAAGCACTCGACATTTGTGGTCCCTGATTGGACCTTTAGGGGATGGTAAATTCTTGTACATAATACCACAACACATAAATATTGTGAAAAAAAAAGTAAAAAGAAAACTACCAGATTTTAATTGCAATTAACCAGCTAGTCATGTTTACTTTGTTTTGCTTTGGCTAGGCTGAGGTTTATATAATGCCATGGGAGCAGATGCTAAGTGCAATAAAGAATGGCAACAAGAGGATCAAGTGGGAAGATAGGATACCTTATGCCTATTGAAAGTGTAACCCATATACTTTTTTAGAAAAGAAAGACTTTCGAAAATGTAACCTCTCAAATGAATACAACTAGAATGTTCGCCTTTATACTCAGGTAACTGTTTAAAGTTGCGTTTCTTTTACCATTTTGAGTCTTGGATGGTCTTCTATACATTGATTGAAGTCATGAGTAAATTAGCTAATGCCTAAGCCAAAAAATTACAAAATCCATACATAATTAACAATTTATTCTTTAAAAAAAAAATTCAAATTGGACCAAAGCAAATGAACTGTTGGCTCCATAAGTTATTGATGATAATAAAACATTCCCACTCATTAATGTCTAACTATACTACTTGAGTATGCAAGTTAAAAATGTATGTCAGTAATAAATTAATCACTAAAAAGCATATATCAAAACTCATTAGAATAAGGAGTTACAAATGAGCCACAAAGCAGAAGCCTTTCAGTTGGATAATCAATAGAGTTTGTCAGCTAAAATTCAAAAGTGAAGTTGGCCAGTTCAAAGATAGTAAGCTCTTAATCGGTTAAAGCCTTATTTAATTGATTAAAAAAGGAAAGCATATTGTGAGATAGAAAAGACTCAGTCGACTAAGAAGCATGGTTAGTCAACTAAGAGCTTACTACCAGAGACTTCAATTACAAGACAGAGAAGACTTAATCGACTAAGAAGTATAGTTAGTCAACTAAGATCACTCTGTCTGAAAATTTGAATTTGAATGATTGAAGACAAACTAATGGCTAGAATTGACTCTAAACTGTTTCCAATGGTCTGAAGCTATCAACATCTATCAAATTGATTTTTCAAGTATAAAAGACACCCCCAACGACTAAGAAGAAGATTAGATGCTTCCTAGATCAAAAAAAGCTTAAAAATAGCAAAAACTCTTTCCATCCTTCCTACACTTCACTCTAATCTTTGTAATAGAGTTTAGCACTTCAAATTATATCATTTAGATCAGGTTAGTGATCATAAGTACTTTTTTATATCTGTACTTCTTAATTATTTAAAGTGTGCGAGTCACTCTAAGAAAATTAATCTAGCTTAGGTTAGCTTGACTGGTTTTATAGGTTCTAACTCAGCCAAGAAAAGTTAGTTTTGGGTTTTGGTTGATCCCAAGAAAAACTATTATTAAAGGTAGTGGTTGAGCCTGTGAAAAGCCATTGTAAAAGCTTAGTGGAAGCTTGGGAATTCCACCATTTGTAGTGATTTGGTTCGAAAATCCTTGATTGAAAGATCAAGGTAGTGGATGTAGATCAAAAAGATCGAACCACTATAAATCTTTGTGCATTGTCTACCCTCTTTTATTTTTAATTTCATTTTTTTTAATCATTCATTCATCCAGCATTTAACTTCTCATCATTGACCTTTAACTTGCCCCTTAGAAGTCAATTCTAGTTCAAAAAGTGCTATTCACCCCCTTCTAGCACACATCTTTGGGACCAACAGAAGAAGGGTTCATGTATCCTAAATTGGAAGATCAGTGCACCCATAGGTATAGATGGAACCTTTCTTATCTCATTTTTATCGAAGGTTATTTCTTTGTTTCCTTTATCATAAATTTCAATTTTAAAATACTCATTACTCTTTTTCTTTGATACAAATAAAGATTTTGAATTTTGGTATGGTACCATCTGCACAAAGATACAAAATTTATATAGAAAGAGTGACATGGTCTGTAAGTGAGAAATACATACTAGCATGCGATAACATGACCTTGATGATAACACCCCGATACTATGATTTCTTATAGAGAAGCATGGTGCCAATGCAGCACAACTGGCCCATCCGCAACACTCTAAAGTTTGCAATTGAATGAGGCAATAATCGCCTTAACAAGGTGTGTGTGTGTGTGTGTGTGTGTATATATATATATATATTCTTGGCAAATGGAATATGGATTGGAATGGATTACATCCCAATTTTTTTTTTGTTTGATACTTGTCTGCTTCTTTATATGTCATTCACAATCCTTTTATCTCATAAAATAATACGTTTTACTTTCTCAGGCACAAGCTACTGGGGAGGCAAGAAACAAATTAATTGAAGAGTTTCTAACAATGCAAAGCATATATGATTATATGTTTCATTTGTTGAACGAATATGCCAAGCTCTTGAATTTTAAACCAACAATACCTTTAAAAGCCCAAAAGGTTTGCTCAGAAATGGCAGCATGCTCAAGGGAAGGTTTATGGATGGAGTATATGGAGCAGTCCATGGTAAAGTCCCCTAGCAATAGGCTTCCATGCACATTGCCTCCCCCAAATGAACCTTAAGCTCTTCAAGCTTCTCTCAACCAAATGAAGAAAATAACTACGCAAGTGGAGGAGTGGTAGATTGAATATTGGAAAAAACTTAGTGATAAGAAGCAATAGAGACCTCTCTTTTTTCGTTCATTTTTATGGTCATTGTTTCCAAATAATAAAATTATTACCATTGGCTACGATTCAACATATCATATGGAAATTTTGTCTGAATTAATTAAATTGAAAGCGAATTCCCTAACAGTCACAAATTATTTTCAAAATTAATGATGTTTACTTGTTTAAACAAAAATAAAAGAGATAATATAAGTAATATTAACTTCTAAAATAAAATAAAAAATATCCATAATGATAATTTAGAAGATATATAGATGTAGTCATGATGAAAACTAGAAAAATAAGGACAGTTCTCCTACTGTTATAAATTACCGATTAGGCTAGGGATTACTTGAGATACAAAGAAATTTAAAAACAAAGGAATCACTCTCACAAATAAAGACTATAGATTGTGGAGGAAAATGCCTTGAATGGAAGTAGTTATATGGAATTAAAGAGCTCACCCTTTGACGATGTCCAAGCTCATCTCATTTGGATATGTTGCTTGCAACTCAACTTGAATGCCATCCAACTGTCTCTTGAACTTGTCCTTAGATCTTGCATAAAGCACCTTAGTCCCCACCCTTGATGTACTAGGTGACCAATACCACAAACAACATTGCAGCCGTTTTTATTGTAACAATTTTTCAAAATTTGAACAAAGAGAAATGAGGTGTTGGGCTTTCCTTTTTTGCTTTCATATACCATGCAAAGAAGAAAATCTTGGTTTTTTAACGAGGGATATAATATATATTACAAGGCCAGCAGAATAAAAGGATGGGCAATGAAGGCAAATAATGGAAATTATGCTTTTGGTTCGCATGCTACGAATTTGGGTTTGAAAGAAAAAGCGATGGAGGCTAAACAAGCTTTAAGTCAAGAAAATATAGAACCATTGTAACATTTTTTGTTTTTTGGATTAAGGAAATGAGAGCAAGTCATCATTTGAAAGATCTAGTCAAGCTCTTGGAAAATATCTTTAAGAATTTTCTTCTTCTTTGCTGAGGACCAGAAGTGGGTCAAGAAAGAAAACATTTTTCTTTCTTTTTGTTTGTTTGGATTAAGTAGATGAGAGCAAGTCATTGTCGAAAAATTAAAGTCATTGTGGAAAACCGTTTAACCAATTAGTCAAGCTCTTGATATATCTCTTTAGGAATTTTCTTCCTATTAAATTCTAAATCTTTGAAAGACGTTTCAAGAAGTGCTTTAGGTATTTTCCTCATTTTTTTTGGGTGAAATTATGAGAGATAACTTTCTTCATAAGCTCAATTCAAAAATATCCCTTTTTTTAATAATTTTAACTATTTTTAGCCAATTTTTGGCATGACTTGACAACAATACGCTATAAACAATTTCATACAATTAAAATGGTTTTAGTTTTCTCTATCCCGCCATTTAGAAAAAATTTCAAAATTAAATCTCGATTTCTTTCTCTGGTCAAATACTATCTATCTCGCCATCCAAAGAGTAGAGATGACATCGAGCTTTTTCTTATTTTGTTTATTTTTGATGGATGGTGGATCTTGGGGTTTTTAAAGGTGATAAACAGCGATTTTACTCTTTTATGGTGATTGTAGGCAGCATAATAAATGTGGTAACTAAATGCTTTCTGGTGATGGCTTACTTCGAAATGTGTGTTGTGATAGAGATGTCCATGTTGATGAGTTGGATCAGATTGGTTAAAATGATGGACTTAGGGAAAAAGGGAAACTAAAGCATGTTTGATGGGTTTTATGGTGGTTCACGGCTTTTTTGTGTCTAAGATTAGGATGATTATTAAGCATGTTTGCTAGGAATTTTGAATTGTAATTATTTAGGAAATATTTTGTAAATGGAGTATATTTTGTTTTTGCATAAAGGTGTACACACAAATTTCTCGTCAAAATTTCTTGACTTGAAAATTATGAAACAAATACAAATATTTGATGATGTGAGTGATAATCTCTGAAAATTCCTCTGATTAATTTCTTCACTTCGTTTTCAAGAGTCACGAACTTGGACTTTGTCTTGATCACGAACTTCGTTTTTGCTTGATCACGAACTTCGCTGTTGCTTGATCACGAACTTCACCGTTGCTTGATCACGAACATTATCTTCATTCGAAAGACCT